TTTATCTTTCCTCCAATCTTATAACTCTAGCACCTTTACTCTGACAGCTAGATAATAACTTTTGTTCAATCTAGGGCACAAGCCCTATTATACCAATCATATACATCCTTTCCAATCTAAATTATCTCAAAATTCGTTTACTCAACTTATCAATACATCCTGAAATTTCTTTTGCTCAAACTCAACATTCTGACTTCCTGTGTCCTATAATCTGATCATCGATATACACATTCTCAAACTCTTCTTGTCAATCCTCAGCTTTACTTAAATATACAAATTCTTACTTCCTTTTCCTTTACTATACCACATTACTATGATCCAAATATGCAACTGTATCCAGATCCATTGCAGATTTGGTTATCATATCCTGACAATATCTTATAATCTTATAATTCCAGTACATTTTTATCACATACTCTAGTTAGCCAATGCTAACTATTTCCATCTTAACTGCAAACCCTTACCATAAACATACTCTTGTTTATGCGTAATACTATCACTTCGTTTCAAACTCATAAGCTCTGACTTTATACATCTTATACACTTGTCACTGATGCACTTATCCTTGAGTTCTTCTATACGTACTCACCACATCATTAGATCTTTTTAACATTCTTATGGTGACACCTGTTCACCATATTCTATCTTATCCACATAATAACAAAACTACTCTATATCGTGTTTCCGATTCAAAACAATGAAAACTTTTCTATCATTATTCAAATATGATTTCAACTTTCTGAAATCAACTTTTGATCTTACTAGGCATTTCCTGAGGTGTCCGCTCTTCATCCTACCTGGCCAGGGCAGGTGAATAGCTATCATAATCAGGAATATCACCTTTCACTTACTTCAAAATTATCACGATCGGATTTCTACTGTATTAAACTATTCTTATTCTATTAGCAAGACAACATATTCCTTACACTATCAGATCAGAAAATTTTCAATCTATGTTGGCATGTACACCTTTTATGACACTTTGGACTTCGGTTTATGCCGAGAATCGGCTAAACCTTAGCTCTGATACCATTAAATGTAACACCCCCAACCCGTACCCGACCCGGATACGAGTCCAAAGTGTCACATTGACTTTTCAAACATTTATTCTTATAAAATAGTGAGTAATTTAAAAACTTTTATAACATTTAACTTATTCAAAACGTTTACAAAATATATCAGAGTTCATACAATTTATATCTTTAGACTACATGCCAACTACACTATATATACAATATATATATTTTCTGATCTGACATTTGGTAAGGAGAACTGACCTGTCTTGCTCCGCATTACTCTTTACTCTTCTCGAAACCTACGTGTGAAATAATCACATTCTATGTCGAAGACTTAGTGAGGCATAAAAACTTATAATGCACTTTATAACATATATCAATACAGGCATGTTCTGTTATATCATGTTATACCAAATTACATGCTTTCTTCGTATCATATAAAATCATATGAGATTAATTACAGTAAATACATACATACACATAACTCATCATTAACAGTTTATCATATAATCACATACTTTTATGCTTAACCTTTTCAATCAAACACTATACACACACAACATCATATCATTTCTAAAACATTTATCATACCACTAACATATATTTGTTCATATCTCTAGATTAGCCCATGTACATATGTGAGAACTATAGATATGTGAGTTTATGGAGGTTGTGCACTAATGTTGTCACTACAGCTCATATAAATGCACCGAAGTGCCACATAGAATTGCACCGTAGTACCGCGTAGAATTGCACCGTAGTGCCATATAATAATCTCCATAAGGACCACATATTATTCCTTAAGAATCATATACATATACTAGGGATCAAGTATGCGTCTCACCAGACTTCACACATGTTCCAAAGAATACATATATGTCCCGAAGGACTACAATGTCCCGAAGGACCACATATCATTCCTTAAGAATCATATACATATGCCAAGGATCAAGTATGTGTCTCACCAGACTTCACACATGTTCCAAAGAATACATATATGTCCTGAAGGACCACATAGACCCTCGACTCTTGGCATGCCAACTATACCCCTAGCTCTCATGACACATAACATGGGCATTGTCATTTAACAGTTCACATTACTTGTCATTTCTCTTCTGTCACATACCATATGTATGTGTAACCATGTATTCCATATCATATCATATGTTCATATAATCTCATAGCTTCTTTCACATATACATGTAATCACTTAGTCTATTTTCATGTAATTCTTTTCACTTCTCATATGATTTATATCATATCTCACATATTTCATATAGTCACTTGGCTTATTTCATTTCACATTGGGCATGTCTCATAGCATATATCACACATGCATATAATCATGTAACATATATAATAACCTATATCCATTTCATGTATCCATGCACATATCAAATCATAAATCAAATAACATTTTGTTCCATAGCCATATTTACATATCTTATACTTACCTAGTTTACTCTATTTCACACATAGTCATATAATCACGTAATATACTTACGCATAGATCATTTTCATACCTAAATCATATAACACCCAATTCTTCCTCATAAAGTTATATATTATATTCATATAATATCATATTATCCTATAAGTAAATACTTATCTTATGGTTTGGTATCATCATTTATACTCAATTCCCTTCACTAATATATTATTCTCATATTACTCTATAGTCTAATCTTATTTAACTCATCACCTTTCTCATGTAGTCATATAAATCTATTATATAAATGCTTATAATTGATCACTTATACTATTAACATGTATGGCCACTTATCATATAACCTATTTCACATTCCCATGCAATCGTATAGACCATTCATATTAATTCCTATACTTATCACAATACATGTATTCACATAATCATTAACACATATTGTATATATATCACATATACCCAAATCAAACATATGCCTATGATCATAAATTAATGCATTATAATATAGGAAATAGACTCGTCGCAAGTCTTATTTCCATTAAACATCATAAACTAACTTGTATGCACTCACCTGGCCTCACTAGTCCATTCCAATCTCTTATCTTCCCTTTTTATCGATCTTACTTGTCAATGATTCCGGAACTCGTTTAGGCTCTGAATCTACATAATTATACATTTTAAGACAATTATTAGATACCTATACCTTGTAATCGGATACTAGGAACTTAAACGAACTTATTAAACCCATATTCACAATTTTCCTTTAGGGGGAATCGGTTCCCTCCTGTGGGGGTATCGGTTCCCCCATGACATTCTGGAAATTTTATTCGCTTGAAGAGGTATCGGTTCCCCTTGAATGGGTACCGATTCCCCTAGCCCAGAATTACATTTTTGAATTCGAAAATCCCTTCATTTTCAGCTCCATACCTCATACTTCACTTCCATTAATATTCCTAACTTTCATACACATAATTAAACTCGTTTCTACTCCATAACCACTTCCTTAAACTCAAAATCCTATCTTTTACATGATATTCAAGAATCATACTCAAATACCAACATGTTCTAACTTTAATTCTATCACCTTATACTTCTTAATTAGATTGATAACAAGTCAAATCCAACTTCAAATTCTTATTATGACCTCTAATCCAATATTTCATTCAATGGCTTCTAACCTTTAATCTCCCTTAACTTACAATTCTTTGAGTTTCTACAACTCTTTTTCCTTCTATAATCTTTCTTAAGGCTTCCATAATTAAAACCATGCTTGAATTTGAATGATTAATCAAGAGAAATTAAACTCACCTTAGCTTGGCTCTTCACGTTGAAGAAGAAAGAAGAATCAAGAGTTATCTGGAAACTATTGTTTCTTTCACTTGGATATTATAATACCCATTATCTATTATTTAATTATTACCTTTTCTCAATGACCCTTTTACCTTTTTAGTTCTCATTCACTTAATAATTCATCCTACCCAACATCTTTAATTAATTCCTTCACTTTTCGATTAATTGAATTTGATCACTGACATTTTAAAATCTTACACTTTAATCACTAACCCGGTATGAAGGATGTTACACTGCTGATGGATCGCCTCTCATTTTCAAGTTACATAAAGCCTTGTATGGGCTTCGACAGGCTCCCAGAAACTGGCATGATAAATTCAAGGCTAGTCTTCAGTAGATAGGGTTTATTGAGTCGGTACTGGATGTGTCGCTTTTTGTAAAGTGTGTGAACAACTACTACACGTTTGTGTTGGTCTATGTGGACGATATAATCATCACTGGTGAGTCTAAGGAAGATATAGAGAGGGTGATTCAACTCATGCAACGAGACTTCTCCCTTAAGGACTTAGGTGAGTTGAACTTTTTCCTTGGAATTGAGGTTAAAAGGAGTAGTGGCAAACTAGTACTCTAAAAAAAGAAGTATATTCTTGAGCTACTAGAAAGGGTAAATATGTTGAATGCTAACTCTAGTGCTACCCCAATGGTTTCATGAAGTAGGACAGGTACTTACTGATGCTCGTGAGTATAGAAGTCTGGTTGGTGCACTGTTGTATGTATGTCACACCCGTCCTGATATAACATTTAGTGTGAAAAAAGTTGCTCAACACATGCATGCATCATGTGAGTTTCATATGGCAGCAGTTAGACGTATACTCAGGTACCTGGCTGGTACCCTAGAGTATGGCCTCACATTTGTGGCTAATGAAGTAGGACATAAGGTCATTGCCTTTGCGGATGCTGACTGGGGTGGCGATGTAAATGATCGAAGGTCAGTTTTGGGTCATGCTGTGTTTCTTGGGAAGTGCCCTGTGGTGTGGAGTTCAAAGAAACAAAAGATGGTCTCGAGGTCGACCATGGAAGCCGAATACCGTAGTGTAGCTGATACAGCTGCAGAAGTGACCTGGATCAATGCGTTGCTAACCAGTTTGGGTTTGAAGCAGCATGAAGAACCAGTTATCTAGTGTGATAACACGAGTGTCATTGTGATGAGCACGAACCCGGTTTATCATGCTCAGTCTAAGCACGTAGACATGGATGTCCACTTCATTAGAGAAAAGGTTGCAGCCAAAGAATTGTGTGTTAGCTATGTTCCAACAAACTTTCAGGTGGCAGATGGTCTCTAAACCTTTAACCAAAGTTGCGTTCAAAATGTTTAGGGCTAAGATGTGCGTGTTACCGTGTTGAAAGAGGAGGATAAAGTATAGGGAATATTAGAACTAAGAAGCTGAGGTCAGTTAGGAGTTGTTAGAGCTGTTAGTAATCAGTTAGAGTAGTTACAAAGCTTCTAGACTAGGGCTAAACTACTGTTAAGTTGATATAAAACAATGTACTCAATTACTGGAATGAATGAGAAGATGCATTCAATGTTTATTGAATTCTATGCTTAGTCCAGATTACTAACAAATGTTGACAATTCTTCTCATGAGCCAAGACTGAGATTAAAGTATGTTGGGTTCTTACATACCTATTTTTATAAATTAAACCGATATTCGTACATACATACAAATGAAAAATGTATTTATGTAAATCTAATGTGATGATTCTCATGACTTTTTAGGGCATTTTTTGGATCATTATATAGATGCCTGGCAAGGGGAGAAAGAGCAACGCTCCGAGTATATCCTGAAAACCTAGCCCAGCGTGAACTAATTTTGAGTTATGCAATGCGTGCTGGATTTGCTGGTGGTGTGGTTGTTGACTACCCACACTATTCTGCATGAACAATTTATGAAATGAGTTAAAATTACCTCCTCTTTTGCATCTGTATTAATGTTTTGTTAGATTCAATGATGGATGCCTGAGTTAATGATGTCAAGTATATCATCGACACTGAGAGTTGTTTCTGCTCCATGACTACATATACTTGATGTTAACCAATTCAAAGCAGCCGGTGGGCAGCAAACAATTCAAAGCAGCCGGCGGCTATTTTTTGTCAAAAGTTTGGCAGATTTTGTTGATATTTTTAAGCATGGGAAAATTATTTTTAGTCACTAGACTTTAGGGTATTTATAAGATTAGTCCTTAAGCTTCAACTATAAATACCCTAGCTCATTTATCTTAAAAATCATCCCAAAATCTTCTAGTTCTCTCTCAAGTGTGTTGTGTAAACACCTGTAAATTTTCTCTTTAGTAAAAGATCTACAGTAATCCGGAGACGTAGGCACAATTGGTTGAACTCCATTATCAATTTCGGGTATTATTTTTCCGCTTTTATTTCGCATTCTCACTAATCTGGTTATAGGGAAATTAATTGTACTCAGTTTATTTCCCAACAAATGGTATCAGAGCTTTTCGTTGTGAATTTTGTCAATTTTTTGCGAGGATACTATTAATTACTATTCACATGAATAGTAAATTTTGTGAATAGTAAAAATTTTGTCGGTGATACGAATTTGTCGACGGAGGTGTTCTAATACACGGTGGTTCGCAAGAATTGTCGGAAACGATCCAAACAAAGCCAGATTCGAGTGGGAGCGATGGCTGCAGACGAAGGGAAGTTGAAAATTGAAAAGTTCGATGGTACGAACTTTGGCTTTTGGAAGATGCAGATTAAAGATTTTTTGTACCAGAAAAATCTATATCAACCTCTCTTAGGAAAACAACCAGAGGGAATGAAAAATGAAGACTGAGCTCTTTCGACAGACAAGCCTTCGGAGTTATCTGACTGACGTTATCTTGCAATGTTGCTTTCAACATAGCAAAGGAAAGACCACGGCGGGTCTTATGGTGGCTCTCTCCAGTATGTATGAGAAGCCATCAGCCTCAAACAAAGTGCACTTGATGAGGCGATTATTTAATTTGCGGATGACGGAAGGGGCATCTATGGCACAACACCTAAATGAACTCAACACAATCACAACCCAGTTGAGTTCAGTGGAAATTGAATTTGATGATGAAGTTCGAGCTTTAATTCTCTTATCATCTCTACCAGACAGTTGGAATGCTACTGTTACAGCAGTCAACAGCTCATCGGGAAATAATAAATTAAAATTCGATGATGTTCGGGATCTGGTACTGAGCAAAGAAATTCGACGGAGAGAATCGGATGAAGCATCAACCTCCTCAGCCTTGCACATGAAGTCCAGAGGGAGAACTTCAGAAAGAAATTAAAATCATGGCAGATCGAAATCTAGACGGGGAAAATCCAGAACGAGAAAGAAAGATTTTACCTGTTATAATTGTGGCAAGAAGGGTCACTTTAAAAGAGATTGCCGAGCACCGAAGAAAAATACCGGCGCACAGGATTCTGCTAACGTGATAGAGGAGATAGGTGATGCAATGATTCTAAGCGTCAACAGTCCGATTGAATCATGGATCTTGGATTCAGGGGCATCTTTCCACTCCACCCCATGCCGAGAAATCATGGAGAACTATGTCAGTGGTGATTTTGGGAAGGTTCATCTAGCTGATGATGAAACCTTGAAGATCGTCGGAAAAGGAGACATCCGACTAAAGTTGTCAAACCAGACCACCTGGACGCTGAAAGGAGTGAGACATATTCATGGCCTCAAAAGAAATTTGATTTCTGTAGGACAGCTTGATGGTGAAGGATTTAGCACAACCTTTTCAGGCTGTGAATGGAAGATTACCAAAGGAGCACTCGTCATTGCTCGTAGTAAGAAAACTGGTACTCTCTATATAACCTCAAATTTAGAGAATATCATTGCAGTAGCAGATGCTAATGGAAAATCAAACCTATGGCACCAAAGGCTTGGCCATATGAGCGAGAAAGGGATGAAGACACTTTTGTCAAAAGGGAAACTACCAGATCTAAAGAATGTAGATGTCGGACTATGCGAGAATTGCATCTTTGGCAAACAAAAGAAAGTCAGCTTTGCAAAGATTGGTAAGACACCCAAGGCTGAAAAGCTAGAGTTGGTTCATACTGATGTATGGGGACCATCTCCAGTTCCATCTCTTGCAGGCTCATTATATTATGTCACCTTCATCGATGATTCTACAAGGAAGGTGTGGGTTTATTTTCTGAAGAAGAAATCAGAAGTCTTTGATACCTTCAGAAAATGGAAGGCCATGGTGGAAAATGAGATTGGTCTGAAAGTCAAGCGGTTGAGGTCTGACAATGGAGAAGAGTACATAAATAGGAGATTCAGAGATTTCTGCGCAAACAATGGGATCAAGATGGAGACAACAGTTCCCATGACACCGCAGCAGAATGGCGTAGCAGAGCGCATGAATAGAACTCTAAATGAACGTGCCAGAAGCATGAGGATACATTCCGGATTGCCCAAATTTCTATGGGCTGAAGCTATCAACACTGCAGCTTACCTGATCAACCGTGGGCCCTCAGTTCCTTTGGATGGTAGAATACCATAGGAAGTTTGGAGCAAGAAAGAAATAAACCTTTCACACTTAAGAGTGTTTGGTTGTATTTCTCATGTACACATAGATTCTGCTGAAAGAAGTAAACTTGATGCCAAGTCCAACAAATGCGTCTTTGTTGATTATGGTGGTGATGAGTTCGGTTTTCGATTTTGGGACTACGAAAATCGAAAGATCATCAGAAGCAGAGATATCATTTTCAATGAGAATGTGATGTACAAAGACAGGTCAACTGTAGAATCAAGTAGCTCCAATACTGAAGCTGAAATAAAGGAATTTGCTGAGTTCGAGGAGATTTCTGGAAATAATGTTCCGATCACTCCTGAAGCAGTTCAAGAAGAATTATACACACCAGAACTGAGACTCTCCTCCAGAATTCCTAAACCAACCCAACGGTATTCTTCTTCTTTGCACTACTTGTTGCTGACTGACAATGATGAACTAGAGTGCTATGAAAGATGAGATTGACTCGCTTATGTCAAATCAGACGTGGGAATTAGTTGAATTACCATCAGGCAAGAAAGCACTCCATAACAAGTGGATTTACAAGATCAAATAATAGCACGATGGGAGCAAATGCTACAAAGCAAGATTGGTTGTTAAAGGCTTTCAACAAAAAGAATGTATTGACTACAATGAAATTTTCTCTCCAGTCGTGAAGCTATCTACAATAAGACTGGTGTTAAAAATTGTAGCTGCAGAGAATTTACATCTTGAGCAGTTAGATGTAAAGACAACTTTCCTTCATGATGATTTGGAGGAAGAAATCTATATGAGGCAGCCAGAAGGTTTCATAGAGGCAGGCAAGAAAAATATGGTATGCAGGTTGAAGAAGAGTTTGTATGGTTTAAAACAAGCTCCTATACAATGGTACAAAAAGTTCGATAGTTTCATGGGTAGCATTGGTTTTACCAGATGCCAAGCAGATCATTGTTGCTACATCAAGAGGTTCGACAACATCTTCATTATTTTATTGTTGTATGTTGATGACATGCTCGTTGCAGGCTCAGACATGCAAGAGATTATAAACTTGAATGCAAAAATTGTCGAAACAGTTTGCTATGAAGGATCTGGGCGCTGCAAAGCAGATTCTTGGGATGAGGATCAAGAGAGACATAAAGTCGGGACTTTGATGTTATCACAGGCTGAGTACATCAACAAAGTACTCTCCAGGTTCAATATGCAAGATGCTAAACCAGTAAGTACACCTTTAGGTGTTCATTTTAGACTCTCCAAAGAACAGTCACCAAAGACGGAGGAAGAACGTGCACACATGGTGAAGGTGTCGTATGCCTCAGCAATTGGAAGTCTAATGTATGCCATGGTTTGTACCAGACCAGATATTGCTCAAGTAGTGGGAGCTGTTAGCAAGTACATGAATAATCCGGGCAAGGTACACTGGGAAGCAGTCAAATGGATCCTCAGATATCTGCGGGGTACCACAAACAAAGCACTTTGTTTCAAAGGTGGAGATGCGATACTGACAGGCTATGTAGATGCTGACTTAGCTGGAAATGTTGACATCAGAAGAAGCACTACAGGGTATGTCTATACTCTCGGAGGAACTGCAGTGAGTTGGGTTTCTCAACTACAGAAGATAGTTGCTCTCTCCACAACTGAAGTAGAATATGTCGTTGTTACGGAAGCCAGCAAGGAGATGGTGTGGCTCCAAAGTTTCTTGGAAGAATTAGGCAAGAAACAAGAAAACAATGTCTTGTACTGCGACAGTCAAAGTGCTATTAATCTAGCAAAGAATCCGTCTTTTCATTCCAGAACGAAGCACATACAATTGAGATATCATTTTATCCGGTCTCTTCTGGAAGATGGGATTTTGAAACTTGAAAATATTAGTGGAGCTCAAAATCCGGCAGACATGTTAACAAAGACGGTGACTACGGACAAACTGAAGTTGTGTTCAGCTTCAGTTGGCATGCTAGAGTAACAAGACTAAAAAAGTTGATGCATTGATCGAGGTGTGAAGACAGATTAAAATCAGTCTTCAAGTGGGAGATTGTTAAACAATTCAAAGCAGCCGGTGGGCAGCCAACAATTCAAAGCAGTCGGCGGCTATTTTTTGTCAAAAGTTTGGCAGATTTTGTTGATATTTTTAAGCATGGGAAAATTATTTTTAGTCACTAGACTTTAGGGTATCTACAAGATTAGTCCATAAGCTTCAACTATAAATACCCTAGCTCATTTAGCTTAAAAATCATCCCAAAATCTTCTAGTTCTCTCTCAAGTGTGTTGTGTAAACACCTGTAAATTTTCTCTTTAGTAAAAGATCTACAGCAGTCCGGAGACGTAGACACAATTTGCTGAACTCCGTTATCAATTTCGGGTATTATTTTTCCGCTTTTATTTCGCATTCTCACTAATCTGGTTATAGGAAAATTAATTGTACTCGGTTTATTTCCCAACACTTGCATCTATGTCTTTTGATTGTTTTCGATTAACTTGTTTTAGATCGATTGTTTATGTATCTTGTTGGACCATCTGTTTTGAAATTGTTTTAAAAAAAGATTCACAGTCCCATTTGCTGAGTTTTGCAAGGCAATGCAATGTGTTGCATGAATTTGTCTACAACATTTCATGATTACTGATGTTATTTTTCTGCTATTCTGTCCTAATGGGTGTATTTATCTTAGCGTTCGATTCTTTTTACCTTGTTAATTACCTCGTGTACTGAGCGTTTGCATTTGTGTTTATAATACATTCGCCCATCGATTATATGCTTTTTTTCATTAGTGCTGGGAAGGTGCTACTGCTTCTAGCGGCACGGGATATAATTCTGGTGAAAATATGCATTCAGGAAGTTAGGAGAGTTCAATATCCCTTTTAAGTGGATAGATGGGTTGAATTGACATTTCATGATATCATTTTAAGTGCTCTAACATGAACTAATCATCATCTGCCAGTACCAAAAGTAGAAAAGAATACCTTGTCCACACTTGTGGCCCGCCAAAAGGTGAAGATAGAGAGAGTTGCTCCGATGATGAGAGCAGTGGAGATGAAGAAAATCAGACGGTGAGCCTATACATATATATAATATCACATCACATTATTGCCCTTTCCTGGTCATTTATTTTTTTATAAAGAGGAAATAAATAAATGAGTAGATGAAGGGGTTTACTGCTTTGCTCATAGTTGCTTCGGTCGATTGTTGTATTTCCGGGGTTTTGCAGGTTAGCATTTCGGACAGGCATAGACCTAGGAAAAAGCAGAAAATAAACAAGAAAGGAAAGGGCAGAGAATGGGTGTTGAGGAAGAAGGAACAGATGAGAAGGAAGGGGAATGCCGTTCCCCCAGACACCAAATACACAGCTCGAAAACGCAAAGCTCGCTTCTGACGATGGCTATTATGTTATAATCTTGAACATGCCGGTTCCGGAATTTTTGGCGATGAGCTCGTTTACATAGTAATTACTATAGTGGCTAATATATGTTTTTTGTTCTTGTATTGATACATATCTTGCTATGTTTACGTAGTAATTTTAAAGGTAAATTCTATCTTAATCACTTGATTATTAGTTATGTTTTGGTCATTGGATTAAAAAAATACTTTTTTGTCACTTGAAGTTAATCATTAACTTATTAATGGATGGATATGTGATCGTTTAATAGTCGGTATAATAATATATTTTTAACGATGTGTATCAAATTAAAACTTAAACTATTAAAATAAAATTTAAATTAAATATTAGATATGATTTTAAAAGAAAAAAATTAAAATATTAAAATGTAATAAAATTAATAATTTAAAATTTTGAGATTTATTTAAACGATTTTAAATTGTTTACTATTTAAATCAACCGGTTGGTAAGAGCATGGATATGATGAAATTAAAAGTATCGTTCCTATCAGTAAATTAATAAAAAAGAAATAAAAGACCACAATAAAAGTTTAAAATAACTAAACTAACAAAGTTAAAGACGAAGATGTCATTCTATCTTCAGAAAACCAATCTTTTAATTTTAGTTTTATACTATAATTTTAATATTTGAAAATTTACATTTTATTTTTTGGAAGGTAAAAATTCCATTACAACTTAAACGCTAAATTCCATTTGTTTTTATGCTCTCTCTTTCATCCAGTACCAGCCTAAAGCTCATAGCAAAAACCCTCATTTCCCACACACTTTATATACGCCGCTCCGTTTTCTCTCTCTTCAACGTCGGCGGCAGCCATGGTTTCCTTCCTTCCTCCCTCCCTTTTTCCATAGTTTTTTCATCAATCGCATTATTCTCTCTTTTCATTTTTTTTAAATTAACTTTGTTTGGATTGAATCTGCAGTCTCAGCAACCGGATACGAAGCCTTTGACTGAGGAAGAGCTCGAACGAAAGAAGAAGAAAGAAGAAAAGGTTCCTTTATTTTTGTTCCGTTCTACTTTAATTACTTTCGAAATATGGATTCGTTTATTGTTATTTAGCTTTACCTTTTCTTTTTTGTTTGATTGATAGGCGAGGGAGAAGGAACTGAAGAAACTCAAGGCCTTAGAAAAAGCTGAGGCAGCCAAACTTAAGGTAAGCTCGCAACGAAGAATCTGCTAAAAAGCTCGTGGAACTGTTCGAGTAATTAGTTTTAGGCTTAGATGATCTAGGATAAGAGACTAAAATGCGGCATATCATCGGTTAACAAATTTTGACACTATGTTTAAACAAGATTGGCACTACAAATTAATACAAGTGCTTGTATTTTTGTTCGAGATTTTTACACATTTGATCATTTTTGTTGTGATTAACTGCTTACGTTATACTTTTGCTAGAAAAGTAAAATTGAGATACAATTTTTATTCATGGTTTGCTTGATATAAGTGGTTTGTTTTTATTCTAGCGATGTTAAAATTGGTGAGTGTTATGCTGTTGTTTATTGTAATTCTACAAAGGCGCAACAAGGTTCAAATGCTCCCAAAAAAGAGTGCAAAGAAGAGTGCCAAGAGAGAAGCGGATGATGAGAATCTGGAGGATTTTGTGGATCCGGAGACTCCTTCAGGCGAGAAGAAAAGACTCTCTAATCAGATGGCTAAACAATACAGTCCAGCTGCCGTGGAGAAGTCGTAAGTGTTGAAAAAGTTCACGTTATGGTTGTTTGGTAGATTCGATATGGTTTCAAGTTAAATTTTTATTTAACTTTGCATTTTTTTGTCTTTGTATGTTTAGTTGGTATGCTTGGTGGGAGAAATCTAGTTTTTTTCAGGCTGATGCAAGCAGCTCAAAACCACCATTTGCGATTGTATGACTCAAACTGGAATTCACACTTTGTATTCGCTTTTTTTCTTTAAAAAAACCCCTAATTTTGTGTATCTTCATTAACTTGACTGATTTTGCAGGTTCTCCCTCCACCAAATGTGACTGGGGCCCTACACATTGGCCATGCACTAACTGGTGCCATACAGGTTGCGTTGTATAATGCTACTGCTGCTATATTTGCTCTCTGACTTTTACATTGAATTTCGTTTACATTTAAATTTTATTGTATGCAGGACACTATTATTCGTTGGAGAAGAATGTCTGGGTATAATACATTGTGGGTACCTGGCATGGATCATGCTGGGATAGCTACACAGGTTGAGTTTCTTTAGTATTTATTTGGATCAGTTAAAGCTTAAGTTTCATTTCCTTATATATGGTATTGTATTTATGTTGCTCTATCTTTTGCCTTTTGTTTGATATAGATAGACAAGTGTTGCTTGAAGTTGCTCTAATGTCTGAAATTTTCAGGTGGTTGTAGAGAAAAAGCTAATGCGTGAAAGACGCTTAACTAGACATGATGTTGGTCGTGAAGAGTTTGTAAATGAAGTGAGTTTAACTTTGAAATTAAGATGGATCTTATTGATTTGCTCTGCAAATACATCTCAAGGTTTTTTATTGATGCCACTATTATTAGGTTTGGAAGTGGAAGATCGAGTATGGTGGTACCATTCTGAGTCAGCTACGACGTTTGGGTGCCTCCCTTGATTGGTCCCGTGAGGTAATGGGTGCCTCCTTATATTGGCTATGGATTTATTGTTCAATTTTTCTTAAGCTGTTCTATTAATATCTCTCATGTTTCTTGCTGCTTTTTCATTTTTTTTATTGTTTTGTTTACTTCTCCCAGTGCTTTACAATGGATGAAAATAGATCAAAGGCTGTGACAGAGGCTTTCATTCGGCTTTATAAGGAGGGTCTTATATATAGGTATGTTTTACATGGATATTTTTCTGATAGGCTGTGATTTGATGAATTTATGTTGTTGACTGTAAAAATGAATTGTTTGTAGCATTTAGAATGATAGGTATCCTTTAAGCATTATCTTTTGCCTTTTCTAATTAAATTGCTTCTTTGTTTTTTCTCCTTGCATTTTTCAGGGATTTACGGTTAGTCAATTGGGACTGTGTCTTGCGAACTGCTATCTCTGATATAGAGGTAAGACAATTTTTTGGGTAATTTTTTATTTTTGCATCTTCTGCTGCCTAACCTGAAGTTGCTTCATATTTCTAGGTAGATTATACAGACATCAAAGAAAGGACTTTGTTAAAGGTACCCAGTTATGAAAAACCTGTGGAGTTTGGAGTATTAACATCATTTGCTTACCCTTTGGAGGGAGATTTGGGTGAAATTGTTGTTGCCACTACAAGGGTGGAAACAATGCTTGGTGATACAGCTGTAGCTATTCATCCAGAAGACAAAAGGTACAGTCATCTACATGGGAAATTTGCAATTCATCCTTTCAATGGAAGAAAACTCCCAATTATCTGTGATGCAATTCTAGTTGATCCAAGTTTTGGAACCGGTGCAGTAAAGGTAAGAGTTTTATCATAGATTTTGAGATTCCGTGACCGTCAGTCTCTCATTGTTTTGTTTATATTTCTTGTCATTGCCTTCAATGTTGCACAGATAACTCCAGCTCATGATCCAAATGATTTTGAGGTGGGCAAGCGCCATAATCTTGAATTTATTAACATTTTCACCGATGATGGGAAAATAAATAGCAATGGTGGAGCAGAATTTGCTGGAATGCCACGGTTTAAGGCTCGTGAGGCAGTGATTGATGCACTGCAAAAGAAGGTATTTACTTTTATTGATGTGCATCTAGGAAGACTTATTTTCACTGTGAGAACATGCAAATTTTTGTTAAGTGTAGTTTTCTTTGCTGCTGTATTGATTGTTAAATTTCTTGATTATGGGTGTCTCGTCCCCTTGCACCTCATCTATATATGTAGCAAGAATTAAACCTGCCTCCATTTGGTGATTTCAAAGCTCAATGCTTTGCCTCAAACTTCCAAGAAGGTCTTTTCCTACCATGCTGGATCAACACGTGATGATATTTCAAAATTGTGCTCTACTTATGATCACATATATGGTTAACCCCTGGCATCAACATAAATAACTAGTGAAGTTAAAATTCCTAGAAAGAAAGTGCTAGAAGGAAGGGTAGTATTGATTGTGTCCTGATTTATGCATGAAAAGTCTTTCAGTTGTTGACCAATTGTTGCCTTCCACACATTTATATGTATTATTTTTGGTATTAAATAATTTCTATTTTCATCCATGAATGATCTTTTATTCATTAACTTATCTCTTCATCATTAGAAATTGTATAGAGGAGCCCAAAACAATGAGATGCGCCTTGGCCTTTGTTCAAGAAGCAATGATGTTGTGGAGCCAATGATAAAGCCCCAGTGGTATGTAAACTGCAGTACCATGGGAAAGCAGGCTCTTGATGCAGCTATGGATGATCAAAACAAGAAGCTTGAGTTCATTCCAAAGCAGTATACTGCAGAATGGAAAAGGTACTCGTTTTCTATTACTTTCTGCCAATATGTTGTAGAATAATGATCTTGCTCAAGTATTGTGACTATTTTTTATGTTGGGTGTTGTCGGGTTCTCGTATTTGGCTTAGATTGCTGCGATTTGATTAAGAAAAAGCCTGAAATTTTTAATTGGAAAAAAGGAAGAACATTCCTATTGGAGAAAGTCCTTGACAGGTGTTCTTCGCAAGTCCGGGATGGAAGATGATTCGAGGATGAATCATTATAAAGTTGAAGGTGTTATAGATGAAGAAAAACTTCAGGTGTTGAGCAATTGTCTAGTGGGGTGGTGCAAGGACTTTGTCAAAATTGGTCATCTCGCTAGACAAATGCAAGCGAAGGGCCTCACTGGCTTCACCTTAATGAGAGCTGCTGGTAATGCGATTTTAATGAATTTCAAAGACAATGCTTTACTGATAAGTGTAAAGAACGATAAATCAAAGATTCTCGCAGAGTGGTTCTCCTTAGTCGAAGCTTGGTCAGAGAGTTTGGTAATGGAGTGTCGTCGAGTATAGTTAGTTTGCGAGGGTGTTCCTTTTCACACATGGAATTGGAATACTTTCAAGAACATTGCTGATAAGTGGGGTTTATTACTAGCTATCGACAAAAGTTGTCATTCTCCATCATCCTTTGATCGGGCAAAAATTCAAGTCCTCACAAAGGCTGATGCGAGAATTGATGCGATGGTGGAATTGAAGGTTGGTGACAACTTCTTCAAGGTCATGGTGCATGAGATAGAGCCTTCATTCAAACCAAACTCTTGGGCTCCTGAAGAAGACGAGTCTCATTAGATCTTGTTTCTTCAATTGTGGTTTTGTTTTAGTTCATATGGCTGTAGGTGTTGCTTTTAATTTGCATTATGTTCTGTTGCGCTATTTTATTCCTACTGCTGGTGGTGTAATTAGAAGTAAGGTGATTAGACTGTGGCTTTGTATGAGGTTATATGAGGTTAAGGTGTTTGTTGTAATGGTGTTCATCACCATGAGAGGATATTTCGTGGTGTCTTTTGTATCGGGTATTATTATCAATAAAATTTGAGGTACTATTTTCTTCCTTCCAATGTTCGTTAACATACTTTAAGTATGTGAACGAATAAGAAGGGAGTTTTTAATGAGACCTCCAACTTCTATCAAAAAAAAAAGTTTTAGGTTAACAAGTCTTGATGGCCTCCATTGATGGCTTTCTTAGTATACTCTGTCATATTTATTTGATGCTCTTCGAGTTTCTGGCTGCCTAACCTAAGTAAGATGTTTCAATGTTCCAGGTGGCTTGACAACATCCGTGATTGGTGTATTTCAAGGCAGCTTTGGTGGGGTCATCGTATTCCTGCATGGTATGTTTCATTGGAAGATGATGAACAAAAGGAACCTGGTGCTTACAATGATCACTGGATAGTTGCCAGAGATGAGGAACAGGCTCTGGAAGAAGCTAGGAAGAAATTTTCCTGGAAGAAGTTTGAGATGTGTCAAGATCCTGATGTGCTTGACACCTGGTTTTCTTCTGGCCTTTTTCCGTTATCTGTGTTGGGTTGGCCCGATGATACAGCTGATCTAAAAGCATTTTATCCAACATCAGTCCTTGAAACTGGGCATGATATTCTCTTCTTCTGGGTTGCTCGGATGGTTATGTTGGGAATTCAATTGGGAGGTGATGTACCATTCAGTAAGGTAAGTGCAATCTTTGTCCTAAATTATATTCAGCTATCTTGTGAGACTGCTTCAGGTTTTCTATTAACCCTTGATGATTTTTACTCTTTTCAGGTTTACTTGCATCCCATGATCCGAGATGCCCATGGTCGTAAGATGTCAAAATCTCTGGGAAATGTAATTGATCCTCTTGAGGTGATAAATGGTATATCACTTGAAGGCCTCCATAAGAGGCTCGAAGGGGGTAACTTGGATCCAAATGAGCTGGCCACTGCCAAAGAAGGGCAGCAGAAAGATTTTCCTAATGGTATTGCTGAATGTGGTGCCGATGCTCTCCGGTTTGCTCTTGTTTCCTACACTGCTCAGGTTCATACTTTCTACATGATTCTCCTGTTATGATACACCATTCATTAAACTTCTTGTTGCTTACACTGCTCAGGTTCATACTTTCTACATGCTTGTCCTGTTATGATACACCATTCATTAAACTTCTTGTTGCTTCCATTCTTCTTACGGATCTTTGCATCACTCAGCTATTTTCCTTCCTTTTATTTGTTTCAGTCGGATAAAATTAACTTGGATATCCAAAGAGTAGTAGGCTACAGACAATGGTGCAACAAATTATGGAATGCTGTTCGTTTTGCCATGAGCAGGCTTCCGAATGACTATACTCCTCCATCATCCATAAATCCTGAGGTAATGCCTCTCAGTTGTCGCTGGATACTCTCAGTGCTGAATAAGGCTATATCAAAGACTGTGTCGTCATTAAATGCGTACGAATTTTCTGATGCTACCACCAGTGTGTATTCCTGGTGGCAGTATCAGTTCTGCGACATTTTCATCGAGGCTATTAAGCCATACTCCGCTGGAGATAATGCAGCCTTTTCCTCTGAAAGGAAATTTGCACAAGACGCTCTTTGGACTTGTCTGGAAATCGGGCTGCGTTTGCTTCATCCATTTATGCCGTTTGTTACCGAAGAATTGTGGCAGCGCCTTCCAGGAGTAAAGAGCCACACAAAGAAAGAATCTATAATGATATGCGAATACCCATCACCAGTAGAGGTAAGTTCCAGTTTCCTCCGGATAAAATATTTTGGTTTGATTATCCTAAAAACCGAAAAATTGTTCATGTTCAGCTTTTAATTTTGGTTTTCTGCATTGGTTGTTACTTCCCGCTTTGCAGAGCTGGACAAATGAAAGGGCGGAATATGAAATGGACCTTGTAGAGTCCACAGTAAGGTCTCTTAGGTCGCTTCGAGCTGAGCTGCTTGCTAAGCAGAAGAATGAAAGGTTCAAACATGAAGCATTATATATGTATATAGTTATTTTAAATTGTCAAAAATGTAACTCTCATCATCGCTTTGCCTTATTGCATTGCATTGATTTATTTTGTTTCAGGTTACCTGCTTTTGCATTCTGTCAAAATGATGATGTGGCAAAAATCATGAGATCTTGCGAATTAGAGATCTTAACCCTTGCCACGTTATCATCTTTTAAGGTATTGTGCCATACTTAAAATCGACATCATCAAATTCCACTTCAGAATTTTAGATTATCTCTCGTTTAATTGAGTTTGATTTTTAACGTTTTCATATTACCGTTCTCCAGGTTCTACTGAGTGGTGTAGATGATGCTCCAGCTGGATGTGCGGTTGAAAATGTTAATGAAAACCTTAAAGTTTATCTCAAGGTTCAAGGCGCCTTAAATGCAGACGCCGAACGCGAAAAGATCAAGACTAAAATGGAGGAGATACTGAAGTAAGTCTTTCTATCATGAATGATATAGGCACGAACGGTATTTGTTTCAACTTTTCGTTTTTCTTGAAATATTATTCGACACTTGTGTCCGACCCATTCGAACTTAGGTATTAGGACCCTACAAAGGCTCTCCAACACATGAAGAAAGTTGCCTGAACTCGCATTTTATAACCAACAGGCGCATTTGAGTAACATAGTCCGGTAATATAGGAAGAGAGTTGCCAGAACTCACGGGGTCATTTTTTTTTTTTTTTGGTTTTAACAGGCAGCAAGAGAAGTTGAAGAAGATCATCAATGCATCGGGATATCAAGAAAAAGTTCCATCTCATATTCAAGAAGAGAACGCTGCGAAGCTGACAAAGCTCCTCCAGGAATTCGAGTTTTTCAAGAAAGAAAACGAACGTCTAGAATCCGAATCCGGATCGCAGCATTGACAGTAAGGGTTATCTCCTAAAAAAATTTCCGATCGCTTCTTGTTACTGTCTAAACCTCACCAATACATTTGTGCATCGTTGATGTTTGATCCTTGCAATGTTTGTCATGCAAGAATTTCTCAATTAGTCATGTCTCAATTAAATCCGTATTCGTTTGACTCGTGATAACAATTCAGTCGGGAGTTTAGTTAATTAGTTAGGTACTAGATTATATGATATGGCTTCCTATTTAAATTCTAACAACAATGGTCTTTACCTCAAACAAGATCCGATGAACCCTCGATGTACATAATACAATAGGGAGTAAGCAATCGACATCCAAAACTTTTTGATTAGAACATCACCAACGTATCGTATATGAATACTACGCAATGAATATTATCAATAGTGAAAAATAAACTGTAGAAAAAAATAATTAGCTGAAGCTTAATATTTTCAATGATTTAAAATTTTAAGTGAGATTTGATAATTTAAAATTATTTGTTAGAATTTTTCAATGAGAAGTCTCGTCGTTGTTAACGCCTTAACGGTCTATTAATTCAACTCTAAATTCTTATGTGAAATGTCAAAAAAAATAGATAAAATTTATAATTCTATATATTTTTAAAAAATTCAAATTTACTGACGATTTTATTCATTCAAATATGAAGTTTTAGATAAAAAATATTAGATTCGATAGAAAAAAAATTAGATTTACTTAAAATATAAATCAAATTTGGATACTAACATTCAAGATTTAAGCTTTGATCATATTTGTTTTCAGGGATGCGAGATGGATGAGAACAATCGTTCACCTTAAAATTTTTAGATTCTCATGCGTTTTAGATAGTTTTATATTTTCTAATAATAATTTGTTTTCATCCCCAAATTTTTTGTTTGTTTTTTCTAAATTTTCTAAATTCGTCCTCTTAATATAAAATCTTGGTACGTTCCTACTCATACTTGTTTTTTAATTTATAATATAATTTATAATTATAAGCTATGAATAATTAATAAATTAAAATTAGCATAATATTATAAAATAAAAAACACATAATAGAAACGAATTTAGATCAATAATTTATAAATACCAATAAATTTAAATAGAATTTAAATTTTATATTTTAAAATAATTGGAATTTGAATAATTTTATTAATATTATATATAAATCCAACAGAAATAAAATAAAATAAATAAAACAATAACCCCCGCCCGAAAAACCCTACCTTCTAAAAGAACAAAAAACCCACCAAAACCCTACAACATCTCAGAGCTAACTACAGGCAGAGATAAGCTGCAAGTGAAGTGAAGAAGAAAGACAATGGAACAACACGGAGAGAGAGAACCGGAAGAGTTCACGCTGGTCGCAACTAAGCCTTACTTCAATCTCCCAACTGCTTGCCCTCTTTGTTTGCCCCTTTTCATTTATCTCAAGCTTGCCAACTTCCCCTTTCGTTTGTCTTCCAATTCCATCTTCCCCGATTCAGGTTTTTCTTTGCTTTTCCGCTACTCAATTGGGTTTATTTCATTTTGTTTTATCTTCTTTGATTGTCAATTTAATTAAAAAAATGGATGCTCAGCTGAATTGAATGTTGGGTGCATCAAATCAGAATCGTCTGTGTTTAGTTATTTATATATTAGGGGTGTTGATATATAGTTCAATTCTCTTAGCTTTATTGGTTATACAATGTAATTTATAACACTGTAATAACTGCTTCACTTAAAGCATTACGTTTTCGAGGGTGTTGCTTGAGGGATTGTTCTTGTTAATCTAAATTGGGGTTTGGGCCTTGGGTAGGATTAATTGAGTGCATTGATTCTCAATTGGAATCAGAAATGAATCATGGTGATGCCCTTTTCTTCTTTTCTAATTCTCTTAAACAATCTTATTGGAATGCTTTTAAATAATTGTTTAGTATGGGGGCATATTGTTGGAATATGACAGTCAACTGCACACCATGGGAAAGGATTTTGTTGGTGTTGTTTTAACTGTTTAATATATTTTAACTGTTTAAAATTTTACTTCCCTATTGTATGTAAATTGTGTTTATCATATGCAAAATTGTATTTGGGTTTAGACATTCTTGATAATGCATTTTTTTATATAAAATTTCTATGTCAGATCAAATTCCTTATGTTGAATCTGGTACTTACGTTGCCTACAATAATGAGAATGGCGGGGTGATTGAGAATTTAAAGCGAGATGGTATTGTTGATCTGGACTCTGAATTCCAATCTGTACCGGATTGGGTGGCAATGAAAGCCATGATTAGCTCTTGGTTAGCTGATGCAATGATGTATGAACTATGGGTTGGTTCTGATGGAAAATCGGCCTACAAGATTTACTATTCTGATCTTTCATGGCCAATAGGAAAAGTTCTATTCCTGAAGCAAGTATACAGTGTTAAACAGCGTCTTGGAATTACTAAAGACAATGCCGAACAGAGAGAGGATGAGGTCCCACTTTTACCTTTGTTTTTTTCCATCTTTTTTCCCTCTTGAATGAATCTACGTGCACATACATGTTAATTCATACAAAAATTGCATTTGTGCTACCAAGAATCTCTACTGGTGTGCTTTCTTTTATTGATGTGCGTGTGTGTGCACGCACGCGTTGAGGGTCGCTACTAGATTTTCAAAATTGCACTTCTTTATTCTGTGGGCAGATTTACAAGAGAGCAAAAATTGCTTATGGTGCTCTATCTACTAGGTTAGGAGACCAGAACTTCCTCTTTGATGATAGGTAATTCCTATTGGTATCCTGACATGGATATTAAAACCTATTTGCCATTTTAATTGAGTGGTTTCTCAAATGGAATATCGTTTTACTTAAACCTGTTGATGATGTAGACAACTGGATTATTACATGTTTGCAGGCCTTCAAGTTTGGATGCAACTCTTCTCGGACATGTTCTTGTTACCCTTCATGCATTACCGGTGAGTTACTTTGAAGCTATACTATTTTATTCTAGCTGTTTGTTCCAGAAGATGATTTAGGATAGTTTTGTGCTGGTTACATTTTCTTACAAACAATTTTTATAGTTTTCGCTAACAAATGCTGTGTTTGGACAATGAATTCCTTCAAATTGCATGACAGATATTCTTAAAATGAGTTGTTTTTGTCATATTCCGAGTAAAAATACTTCTTCTTGAAAGGAAACAAACATGTTCAAATTAGAATATTGAAGATAATATGTATATTACAGCTTCTATAATACAGAACTTCCCCGCCTTTGAAGTTCTTTAAAACATGTTCTTTTGCAATTCTTCACTACCAGGAAACATCGGTGCTTCGAAGCGAACTCTTGGAGCATGGTAATGTTGTCAGGTATGCTGAAAAACATAAAATGGAGTTGATCGAATCCGGTTCATCATCTTCTGGTCCACAATTTCACTCTGTCCCTTCATCATCAACTCCAAAAAGAGGTCCCTCAAATTGGAGTAAGTTACCACGAAGCACCTTATTTTGTTCTTTCCCTTCGTTAATTAGTTGATATTAATTTGGTTTATGGCTGTCCGGTCTTGGACTTCATTATCTTCTTTAATCATTTCCTTAGTACCTATATTAACAAAACCCGATTTACTTTGATGTGTTAATTTTACAATCAATAAATCTTGGTATTGAAATAAACATGGTTTCATTTTGTTCTCGACTAGGTTCAAAGCCGAAGAGCAAGCCAAAGAGGGAGAAAACGGAGGAGGAGAAAACTTTTAAGCGGAGGGCAAAGTATTTCTTAGCAGCCCAGCTACTCGCGGTTCTGCTTTTTCTCTCCTTGATGGGCGGAAATGATTCCGGTGACATGGAGCTCGATGACGAAGATGAAGGCATCGCTTTTGATTGAGACCAATCTCTCATTTATCTGGTACACATTACTGACATTGTCCCATGATTAATTACTAGTAACCTCTTGAGGTTGAACTATTAGTATTTGCATTAACATTGTGGTAAATAAGAACATAAATTAAAGATTATGATTTTTGTAGCTTGGCTGCATATTTTGATTGGGTAAAGTACATTGGAGGTCACTGAACAATGTCAAACTGATTTTTGGTCAACAAACTTTCAAATGTTATAAAATGGTTATTGAACTTTTCAATCAGTTACATAACAGTCATCAAAATCTATTGAACTGTTACAAAATTGTCCTTAAACTTTACGAAATTTATTACTACTTTATAATGTGTAAAGATCATTTTGTAATGGTTTGATAAGTTTCATGACTTTTGTAACATCTGAGATGCAACACTGCCTATTGTTCTTCGGTTGATTTCCATCTATATTTTCTTAGTTTTCATTTTATTGATAGATGTCTTTTATGTTATTGAAGGATTAAATTTATTAAGTTATTTAGAATTAAAATGAGGATTAAATTGCTAAGATTTTTAATTAATAAAGGTTAAATGTATTGTTTTTTAAATTAAGATTAAATTAATAGATTGTAAAAGTTTTAGAGATTAAAATTATTATTATATCAGATCTTGTCATTATCTCCTTAATTTTTTAATGATCGGTGATCAAATTAAAAAAATGTAACATAAGGGTCTAAAGTTGTAAAAGAAATAATTTGATGATTAAAATAGAAAAGAATTAATAGTTTAGTGATTAATAGTATAATTTGTTAATAATTATATTATTTTTTACCAATGATTATACGAATAAATTTAATTAAATTAGAGTTTAAAAATTAAATAAATTTCACATGATCTGGCAAAGATCTAGAAGAATCTGTCGTCAGCAAACGATTCTTCTAACAGTGTTTTGAGATGGAAGATGGCAAGAAAATGGGTGTAGTTAATTCACATATTTATTCTATTAACAAGAATAGTACAATATTATATTCAACATGACTTTCTCAATTATTTCATCATGCTATTTTCAAACTTTCTTTTATTAAATTAAAATAACGAGGAATCCATCAAGTGGTAAAAGAGGACGACGTTTTTTTATCGGTTTTGAGTTTGAGCAGTTACGTTTATATGATATGTATTGTCAATTGATTAAAAGAATTCTAATCATATACTACTTTGTATATCATGGGAAACTATTTTTAAAAAAAAATAAAAGAATGAAACAAGCCTTATATAACTTTGAGGTTTATTTGGAAGTATTTTTCTTTTATCCATTAAGATTTCGTATTTTCAAATAAATATTTATAGTGTAATTTGATAGTAATTCTCTATATATTTATTGTAATTTTAAAAATGAGTTAGGATTTTATTACACAATGTAAAACTCTTTTAGTTTTATATAGATTTAAGATCGTTCAACGAGTGAAAATATATAATTAAAATTAACAGTATAAATTACAAGATATTTATTGAAGAAAAAACAACGATTTAATCTCAATAATCTATTTTTATTTATCCAATTATCCTAAGTTTGTATAAGACTAAAAGAATTTTACATTAGGCAAGTTAACCTTAACCTCTTTTAAAATATTTTATAAATATTTTAATAAATATTCATAATTTTAAAATTCATTATTTTGAGTAGAGACAAGAGTATATATAATCTGGAAGATCGACCTTATAATCAACAATTGGTAATTTATAATATTTGACTTAAATTAATTAAATAATAAATTAAATTATAAAATTATAATATCTTTGATAAAAAAATGTTAATATATAAAAATAAGTTACCCGAAATACTTACGAAACGTGATGAAGATGACGTGTACAGTGTAAGTTGCCTAAAATGCCCACCAAACATGACTTACAAAATAAGTAAACAGTAAGGGTATTTGCGCCATTTTGCTCCTTAAGAAGCCTCGTAGTCGTCGTATATACTTCGACTCTGTTAGCAAAGTAGCATGTTGGAATATGGGAGAGAGAGAGTCTCCACTCACTTTTGTCTCGCGTGTTGTTTATGCCGATTGGCTCATTATTTAGCGTTACAAGAGTAAGGAATAAATTCATATTTAGTCCTTTAACTTTATAACATTTCTATATTGTTGAGGTGACAGAAAAAGATAGCTATCGAGCTTACGAGATTGGTCGGCCTGGTTACGATAGAGATCGATTCTGATTTTACTTGTTATTATTTGTTTTAGAAGTTAATTTTACCGTTCGGATCAAAATAAATTCATCCATTTTAATTTAGATAAAGAATCACAAAAATAAAAATGATGATGTCAAAATTCGGGAAAAATAAATTTTAAATCGACCTCTTTTATTATACGATGATCGATTCCTTTTTATGCTCTTCATTATCACATGACAGGTACTTATGGGAGGACAAAAAAAAGGAGAATCATCATCGGATCGATCATATTTGATATACTATTATTTTATAAGTTGTCTGACTCATTTATTTAAAATAATTATTGAATTTATCAAATTATTATAAAAATATTAAATTTCATAAATTGTTTATTAAATTTTATCAAACTATTATAATATAATCATTAAATTTATAATACTTTCATATAATTTAACGATTTAATGTTAATGTTAATTTTAATTTTTGAAATCTAATGGTCAAAACAATCATTTATGAATGTATCAATGACCTCTGATGTAATTTATCCATAAATTAGAATAAATCGCCGGCTCTGTTTTTTGTTTGAAAATTAGCTTAAAATGCCAACCCGCCAGCTCCTCTCGCTCTCCCTCTCTTCTTTCACAAACAAATTTACAACAAAAAAAAAATCCAAAATCCAGAAAGGAAAGAATTTTAGATATAATCACGTCGACAAATCTCTAAATTATTGCAGAGATTAATCGCTTTCAATATTTACAGAGATTGATCTTTATCTATATATTTATGTATGTATTTATGTACACATACATAAATCTCTTTTCATTTGTTTCTTGTTTGATGCTCTGCTTTCCTTTAGATCTTCATTGCCTTTTTTTGTTCTTTGGATCTTTCAAATTCTGGGATTTTCAGATATCTTCCGTTTTCTTCAACCACCTCCATTGCTCAGGTAACTTTGCTGTACATTGTTTCATTCATTCACTGTTGAACTGATTAATTGTTTATTTGTTGTGGTCTGGTATTGACTAAGGAGAGAAATTGAATGTTACAATATTTTTTGTTAGATTTGAATTAGTCGTCTTAGCTTTGGTAGGTTGGAGATCAGCGAGGACTTCGATTTGGGTTGACTTTTTTAAAAAGAAAAAAGAAAGAAAAAGAAAAAGAAAAAACGATTGAAAGATGCTTGTGTTTTTGTTTTTAACAGTTAGGCAAATACAAATCCTTTTACGTTTCTTCTTCTTTGCATATGTTGGGAAATAAGAACTGTTTGCTCTTGAGCCGTTTGAATTATCCAGCAATAACAAATTAAAATTAATTTTTGTTTTCTGCTTTAATTTGTTCTTAAATGTCTACAACGTTTGGTTGATTTTACCTGTATGGAGCTTTGAAGTTAAGGGTTTGATCAGGTTTGTCTTGGTATTGAAGTTGACGTTTTTAGCTGAGTTTTGTTTTTCATTTATGATGGATGCTTGTGTTACAAACCAAGTGTTGTAATGCTTTTTTTCGCCTATGGTTTCATTTTCCAGATCACATTACGTTGATCCATTGAAGAATAATCTGTTGTTGATTGTTGGATACTAATTCCTTACCTTGAGGAGGAAACACATGAATATTGTTCTGTTTATACTAGATGAAGGAAGCTAAGGGGTGGCGACTAGGCAGCATGGGCGATATCAAGATATTGCCCGGATCTCGCCATCGGCCTCCGTTGAAGAGGCCGATATGGATGATTCTAATGGTGTCTTTTGCCAGCCTTCTTTTACTTTGTGGTTATCTCTATCTGCCAAATGGCAATGTTGCATGTTACACATTTTCTTCTAGAGGTTGCAAGGCCCTTAGTGATTGGCTTCCTCCAGCTCCTAAAAGGGAATTAACAGATGAGGAGGTTATATCACGGGTTGTGGTTAGGGATATTTTGAATATGCCTCCTTTCCAATCTAAAATTCCTAAAATTGCATTCATGTTCTTAACTCCAGGATCACTGCCATTCGAGAAGCTTTGGGATATGTTCTTCCATGTGAGTTATTTCTTTTTCGGCTGTTGGTTCGGTATTCCTTTGTATCATCTTCATATGCTTCATGAATTCTTTTTATTCCATTAAATTTCATGATTATTATCCTTGAAATTGGCTTCCATGAACTGATATATTGGGAAGAAATCCGTTTAAGGATTGCTCCTATATAGCAGGGTTGTATAGATCATATACAAAATCTACCATGTAATAGATATTGTTTAGAAAGAAATGCCATATTTATAGGTATAAAGGTGCTATTTTGAGAAATACTTGGAGAGGGGTGAGGCCTTGCAGGGGAAATGTTTTGCTTAGTCATAACATTGCATTTATGCAGCTGGGAAAACCTGGTACTGATTTATATCCAGGAGCATAGCATTATTAGGGGCTGAAGTGAACACTTTCGGTAATAAAGCTGTATCTTAAATCTGTAGCATTAGCCATTAGGTAACATAGGAGATGGTGATTTTTAGCATTAGCCTTTCAGGTTTTGATACATGTCAAAATCGCGAAATTTCTACTGGAGTGTAATGATATTACATTTGGAGGTTCTAAACACTCTGGTGCTGTTTATGTTGCATAAGAATGCATTTTGCATGTGTAAATTGTTCATTAATGACCATAAGAAAGTGCCAATATTTGTTATTTATAACCTTAAGATGGGAATTAAGAACCATTTCAGGTCTACATTAGATTTTGAAGTAGAAAAATAAAATAGCTTATTAGTATGATGGACTGGGAGTGAAGCTGTGTTTTGCTGTTGGACTTACTCGTTTTATTCCAATAACATAGAATGTAGTCTGTTTGAACTAACTAGAAACTTATAGTACCTAAGTATAGGAACTTTGGAATGTCTAATAGTAGTATCGAAAAGCTGTTGGATGTATCTACTTGTGAAGCAAATGTTACTTACATTTCTTTGGATTGATCCAAATAAAGTAATCAAATAGTGCATATGTCTGTGTGAGAGTCATATGTATTCCATTAAAGTAAAGAACATGTCTGTGTGAGAGTCATATG